AAGCGGTTAAAACATGGGTAAAGTAACATCAACACATATCGAAATATGCCAAACATCACTAACTAACCCGATAAATCATACAACAGCTATAAAGCACAAACAGAGCAGTAAATGGGGGAACATGGTTGTAATGCTCAAAACGACCGGCCGGGTCATTATAGTTAATTAGCTAGAAATAAATGTTATAATCTCTATAATTAGAAAATTGTTTGGACTTGTGTTTCTTAGCAATATTGAACAGTTGTAGCTAAGCCTTAGTTCTCCGTGGGATTCGACTCCGGACTTGTAAACCGGATTATATTTGCAACGACCGCTTAGTCCTTTTTATAAGGCATAGTTGGGCGTCATCAAATTCCAAAAGAGGCTATCTACCGATAGGCACTGGAATTACTCTCAGTATGGAGGATTGTCCTAAAATACCTGAAGAGAGAGAACGCATGAGTAGGATCCCATACGCTAGTACAGTGACAGTTATCATGTATACCATGACATGTACACGTCCTGATGTGGCTTATGCACTTAGAGTGACTAGCCGATATCTGGCAAATCCTGGTGAGGAACATTGGAAGGTGGTGAAGACCATTCGTAAGTACCTAAAAAGGACTAAAGACCAATTCCTCATTTATGGAGATTCTGAGTTTAAACTTGAAGGTTATACTGATGCAAGTTTCTCTTCAGATAGAGATGATAGCAAATCTATTTCTGGTTATGTATTCACCTTAAATGGTGGTGCAGTGAGTTAGAAAAGTTCCAAACAAGCTACAGTAGTTGATTTAGTGACTGAAGCAGAATAAATAGTAGCTAGTGAAGTTGCTAACGAAGTTGTATGGATGAAAAAGTTCTTAACTGAACTTGGTGTGGTTCCTTCAATAGAATGTGCAGTTCCATTGTTGTGAGACAATACTAGAGCCATTGCTCAAGCAAAAGAACCAAGATCACACCAAAAGTCCAAATACGTTCTGCGAAGGTATCACTTGATAAGAGAGATCATTGAACCTGGAGACGTCGAGATTCAAAAAGTTGATGGAAAGGGAAATGTTGCAGACCCATTCACTAAAGCTCTTGAAGCAAAGGAGTTTGACAAGCACAAGTGAAAATTGGGAATGAAATACAAGAGCGATTGGCTCTAGTGCAAGTGGGAGATTGTTAGGGATATATTAAATATGCCCTAGATCCAATCTCATGTTTGATGATTTGAACATATTTTTGTGAATGTTATTTGATATAAAAATATATGGCATTTGATATTCTTTTATCATAGTTATTATTAATTGCTTGATTAATTTGATAAGGTCCTTGATTAAATTTTGATACTTGTCATCGTGATGGAGATCATGATAATGAGAGTGAAGTTTCTTATAATTTAATCTAAATTTATTCTTGATCGTAGGATTATTAATTTGGACATTGGTAATCGGTTAGATCAATATTTATGTGATCGTCTTTATGGAATAAAGATTAGTTGATCTCATTAATTAAATCACATAAATAGACNGTCGCCTATTAGGATTTGACAGTTGAACCATATCCTAGGGTGACCCAGAGCTATAAGGACAGAAAGAATTAATGCATTATTCTTCTACGGGTTCTTGAGAGTAAATTGTATACTTCATGTTATCCGGTCCTTGAGGAGTGTTGCTAGACGCCGCCCTTGATTAGTATATTGATGTGATCAATTTACTACCGATTTAGTATTGAACCTATGTGATCGCACACTAACGAGTGTTCTGATCTTTGCTAAAGGATGAATTACTTTATTATTTGATAATCAAATTAAAGAGTTTAATTTAGTCAAATAAATTTAGTTATTAGTCCAAATAAAATATTGTTATATTCTTTGCTAGCACAGAGAATATAATTAATATTGTGAACAAATTCAAGTTTTCTATTTGGAATAGAAAATTAAATTATATCTCTTGATTGAAATATATAAATGTGTGATATATATATTTGGTACTTATAATTAATATTTATTTATATATGAAATATATATTAAATATTAATAAGGAGACTAATTCAAAGTCCAAAAAATACCATTTTAATTCTTTCTTGGAATTATTTTTCTAAAGTTCAACTTTGACTTGGAAAGGAATTAAAACACCATTTTAATTCTTCCTTTTCCATTCACTTATATATAAAGATATATTTGTGAAATTGAAGAATATATGAAAACCTATAAGGTGTATGTGTGCCCCAAAAACATCAAGAGAAAATATTATATTGTTTCTTATTCTTCTACCTTTGAGTTGAGATTTTTAAGAAAATTTCAACACAATATTTTTCGTTAAATTTGTTCGCGGTTTTCATTGATCAAAGAATTGATAGTAAAGATCGGTCTCGATGTGGATACGCATAGAGTCTTCGCACTATCGAAGAATTTTTAAAATAAGACTCTCTTCATCAGGTACGTCTTAGATCCGATCTTTGACATATAAATAAATTTTAAACATGAAAAAATCTTCCGATGATTGTTATTATCTTTCACTGCGTGTTATGAACACCTCCCGCAATCCTACAATGGTATCAGAGTCATGATTTATTGTGTCTATAATTTATTTACGAAATATTTTAAGATTATATTTAAAGAGTTCAAACCATGTGTCTTATGCAATAATTATTATGCCAAAAAGTTACTTGGTAGGCCATTCCTGAAGACTCAATGCACTAATTCATGATTAGATGTTGTGATCATTTCGGAGCAGGGATATGCGATTATCTTGTTGTCTGCTGTGTTATTGACATTGGTCTTGAAAAGTAATAAAATCTATATTTTGATTACTTGTAAGTGGTTCTAACACGTTTTATTGTGGCTTTGTATTACTTTAGCATAGCAAACTGGCAAATGGTATTTTGAGAACGTTACGAAACCGGTGAGACTGCCTATGGAGGGCACATGATTCCGCTATTTGCAGCAGAACAACTAGACTCTTGGCCTTAGTATTCATGAAACAACTTGGTGTAATAATTCATTCCTTTTAATTTCATTATATAAAATATAATCACATCCAGGAGCGGATCCAGCATATTGGGTCGGGTTCGACTGAACCCATAACTTTCGACAAAAATTGAGCATATACTGTACAAATTCAGCTAAATATGGTTATATATTAAACTATGAACCCATAAACTTCAGTGGTGGAAAACGTCATCTTAGTTCCGTTTCGTACTTGGAGACCCGAGTTTTATTCCCCACTTTCACTCTATTTTTTATTAGAATTGTTGGAGTCTTTTTTGTCCTTTTCTTAGTTTATAACACATCAGCACATGGGGCCCTTTGTTCCTTTTCATTAAAGAGGGCTCTTTTCATGTTCCCTAAAAGTTATGGACCCATTTAATCAAAAATCATAGGGAGTCTTATTCTTCTTGGGAAGACATCAGATTAAGAAATTGAAGCTTCTTCAACCCCAAACTTCTAAAGTTAGGGTTTCAAAAATCAAAACAAAGGCCTACAATCAATCTTCTTCTTGATTTTGCTGGTACGAATCTATGGCTATGGTTATGATTCTCTATTATGATGTAATTTATATATTATAAGTTATAATAATGATACAATTGCTCATTATCTACTTCTTATGGATGATTTATTTCTTCTTCTTTTTTGAAGTTTTTTTGCTGGCAATTAGAGAAGATGATTGTTGAAAATTTCTAATAAAATAGATGACTGACTATCTTATTCAAAATCAATTTTGCAGGGAACACTTTACTTCTTATATATATATGACGATAACGAGATTTTTCAAGGCTATTCCAACTCCTCCAAGTTCTGGTACTAGCTCTCCTTTGCCAAGTACTTCTCCATGTCTAATTATTCATGATAATATTAAGCCTTCAACAGAATTAAACAAAGATGAAATATTGAATTTGGATCTTAAACCTGATTTTGTTGAAAGAAAGCAAATCTCAGAATATTCTCTTAATCTACGTGACCGAGTGAGGAGGTATTATATTAAAGAAGGACCATGTCAACCTCGTAATCACAAGTTTCCAAAAAGAAATTTTGGTGGACTACTGCATCAATTTAATCCGGAGTGGTTTAACACTTCATATTCGGGTTGGTTAGAATATAGTATTAAAGTTAATGCGGTATTTTGCTTATATTGTTACTTATTTAAAAATGAGCATGGAGGACACGGAAAGGTTTGGGATTCTTTCACAAAGAGTGGTTTTAAAGTTTGGAATAAAGCTACAGAAAGACTTAATGCACATATAAGTGAAGTGAATAGTTTTCACAATTGATGTTTCAAAATGATGAGAGATTTAATGAATCAGGAACAATTAATTTTAACCTCTTTTGACAAGCAGTCTGAGAAAACTAAAAGTGAGTATCGACTTCTATTGAGTGCTTCGATTGATGTGGCAAGATTTTTCTTAAAACAAGGAATGCCTTTTTGAGGCCACAATGAAGGTGGAATATCTACAAAAAGAGGAAACTTTCTAGAACTCTTACAATGGTATGCAAATAGAGATGATGAATTAAAAAAAGTTGTGTTAGAAAAAGCTCCACGGAATAATATGATGATCGCTCCAAATATCCAAAAAGAGATTGTGAATGCTTGTGCAAAAGAAACAATGAAAGCAATTATTGAAGAGATGAATGGAGATTATTTCGGAATATTGGTTGATGAATCTAAAGATGTCTCTCATAAGGAACAAATGGCTATTGTTCTGCGATACGTCAACAAAAAGGGAAAATTTATTGAGTGATTCGTTAGTATTGTTCATGTTAAAGATACAACTGCATTGTCATTGCAAAAGGCAATCTATTCTTTGCTTTTAAAGCATTCATTAAGTCGGTCACAAATACGGGGACAAGGTTATGATGGAGTTAGTAATATACAAGGAGAAATTAATGGGCTTAAGACGTTAATCTTGAAAGATACTCCTTCAGCTTATTGCGTACATTGCTTTGCTCATCAATTGCAATTGACTTTTGTAGCTGTTGCAAAGAAACATTATGATGTGGATCAATTTTCTGATATTGTTGCTAATGTCTTGAATAATATTAGAAGTTCTTTTAAGCACAGGGAGATGCTCCGAGAGGATCAAGCACAAAAACTAGAAGAATTGCTTATGCTTGGTGAAGTTGATACGGGAAGTGGACAAAATCAAGAATTTGGACTTCAAAGGCCAGGAGATACCCGTTGGGGATCTCATTTTAAGATAGTGCATAACTTTATTGTATTATTCTCGTCAATTATTCATGTTCTTGAAGTTTGAAAGTGCAAATTATCTTGAGAGATCAATGGCAAAAAATCTAGTGAATGACATAAGATTTTTTGAGTTTGTGCATTTATTGCATTTAATGTTAAAAGTATTAACAATTATAAATGATTTGAATTTCGCTTTGCAAAGAAAAGATCAGAATATTGTAAATGCTATGAAGCTCGTTGGTTTCGCCAAGAGCTAATTGCAATCAATGAGAGAGTCTAAATGGGATCTTTGATAGCCGATGCCTCTTTATTTTGTGCCAAGCATGGTATTGTTATCCCTGAAATGGATAAGAACTATCATCTTGGAAAGTCAAAGCATAGGATTTCAAGTGTGACATACTCTCATCATTTGCGTGTAGATATTTTTAATGTTGTCATTGATTTGCAGCTTTCAGAACTTAATAGTCATTTTGATGCAGTGAATAGTGATCTACTTCTTGGTATGACTAGTTTAAGTCCGCATAATTATTTTATAAATTATGATAAAGAAAGAATTATGAAGCTTGCTAAACTTTATCCTCATGAGTATGGTATTTCCAAGCTTGAAGATCTTAGCTACGAGCTTGACAGCTATATTCATTATGTAAGAGAAGACCGTGATTTCTCTAACTTGAAAGGGCTTGGAGATCTTTCAGAAATACTAGTTGAAACATAGCTGCACAAGACTTGGGGACTTGTTTATTTGCTTGTGAAGTTGAGTTTGATATTGCATGTCGCTACTGCAACGGTAGAAAGAGTTTTTTCTTCAATGAAATATATGAAAAATGACTTGCGGAACAGAATTGGTGATGAGTTTATAAATGACTGTTTAGTGTGTTATATAAAAAATGAAGTATTTGAAAGTGTACCTAATGATGCGATCATTGATCGTTTTCAAAACATGACAAGTCGTCGGGCACAATTGTAATGGTGATATTTACTAAATATATGTTATGTTTAGTAGTTCGGTACTTTTTAAATATATTGAATATTAACACTCGTACATGGTTCGGTTATTATTGTATATATAGTAACTTGCGGTTTGTCCTAGAATTTTAAATCTTGAACCCATAAAGTTAAATTCCTGAATCCGCCTCTGATCACATCTTCCGTTTGCTGACAAGTATCTTGTCCAAAACCAATTGCAGATGAACGTGGGGGAAGTAAGAAAACTTTGCCAAAACGGGTAGATGAAAGGAGCCTTGAAACTATTAATAAGTCGCCTCACATCATAAAGCAAACAGAACAAACTGGAACTATTTCCAGCAGTCGAATGTTGATCCACCACTCGAGCAATTATTCTTTGGTTTGTAGAGCTCAAATACTTTCTCCCCACCACCAAGTTCTACTGAATATACACAGTCTCTATTGATATCTACCGTCAAATATGACATGGTAGTAGTAGTATTTGAAGAGGAATTAAGTAATGAAAATGGTCAATCTAGCAGGCGGCTTAAGAAGTTCAGAGGAATGAGTTTTAAGGGAACATAAAAAATACGGTATGGAGGTTGAGAATTAGGATTGAAGGTTAATTGATAGGTAGTCGAGGATTTCACCTAGTCTTACCTATAGTGTTAGTAATATCCTTATATTTTCTTATTCCTAGTTTTTTGTTACTACATGATGTGTCATTCTTTTACCAGTAGTATTAGTACTATTCTTGTAATATACTCTCATTAATAACTTGTGTGTTTATTAAAAGTCATTTTTTCATATTTGATAGCGATTATGGCCTCTCCTAATTATGAAAAAATCAGATTGAAATTCGTGCACCAATATTATGAAATTATTGCCCAATACATCTAGGTTAATAATGTCAGAATAAATACATGGAAGGGCTATAATGTAATTTAGAAAAAGTAGGGTTTTCTAAGAAGTGTAAACACAACCTCCAACTTACTATATTAGGGTATAATATCAACGGTTAGGATTTTCTTTATCATTACTCAATATATCTTAATATCTATAAATATAACTTTTTGAAGCCTGCTATCAGTCGTACTAATTTTGTTCACTTTTACTAAGTTACTCTAACTTTGATAGCCTTTTTATGTCGAAGCTTGCATGCTCACCTGAATCGGCAAATGTTTTTTAAAAGATTAATGTATCTTAGTACATATGTCGATTTAGGTTCGTATGTAAACTATGACATACTTCAAAGGATGATGTATGTATCCAGATCTTGAAGTCACTCTTTTTAAATTTGCAGCTCTCATTTTCTATACTTCCCATTTTTTCTATGTGTTTAGTAGTGGATTTTATAATGGATTCATGACTATCGAGGGTCTATTGAAAACATTATCTCTATCCTCATAAGGTAGGGGTAAGGTCTGCGTATACATTACCCTCCTCAGACCCCACGGTGTGAGATAATACTGGGTATGTCGTTGTTGTTGTTGTTGTTGTTGTTGACTGCAGAGGCGAATTTAAAATTTAAATTTTATGGATTCAACTTTTAAGATTTTTAGCATCAAACTCATTATATTTTTATAGTTATGTGTTCATATTTATTATTTGTTGTAATACTAGTAGATATTTACACATAATATTATGCTTTGCAATGAAAATTTTGGTTCAGTTGAACCCGTGATCACCTTAATGCGACATACACCTTGTTCATGAGTTCGATACTTCGATATAGTTTAGTGTTAGAAGTTGAATTATATATAGATACATACAAAAATAGGTATGAATTAAGTTAAATATATATTTCAAAACTCACATATTTTGAACTAAGTATCCCACAACATCTAAATCCTGGTCCGCATTGGACGGGTTAGTCAAGCTTTGAAGCTTAAATTTTATTTAGATTTATGAGATATTTGAAGATAAGAGGAAAATTCTGTACAATTGAACTATTAGATTTTATTTTGGAACCTGCATTCCAGTTAGGTATAATAATCGTAGGTTCCTTTTTTTATTTTGTTTTGCTTTTTTCTTTTATATTTATGTTTGCAGTCAACAATATGCAACTTCTTGGTTTAGAACACTGAACGAAGAGGAATAGCTCTTTTTCGTTTTTAGGGAAATCAGTAGGCTTTTATAGCAAATCGATTACAGTTTAATTTATTTTTGTTAACTTTAAAGAGATTGACTCAGTTTGAGATCAGAGATTGACTCGGTATGTATAACGTTAGTAATGTTTTTTTTTTTAAATTCAATTTAGATGCTTAGACTTGGTTCCTGAAAGAAACAAAATTAATTAGTAGTTACTACTCCTAATTGGTAATTAAATTCGTAAGATTTTCGCTTTTACGTGAATGAAAAAATGCCATTTGCGGTATTATTGCGAAAAAAAATAGGAGTACAATATTAGTTATCAAATAGTTTTTCCTGTATCATTCGTGAAAATAGTACGGACTAGTCAGTTTTCGAACTGGTAATTTAAAAATAGCCAGCATTTGCAAAGTTATTAAAAAAGAGTCATTATTTTGCTGCAACACAGAAAGTTCCAACATAATATACTGGAGATTGATGCACATGTGTATGAACTTTTAGCATATTATGCTGAAACTCCAGCACGCGGAAAGTTCCAGCATAATATACTGGAGATTGGAGCACCTGTGTATGAGCTTCCAGCATATTATGTTGGACTAGTATATTATGCTGAAACTCCAGTATATTATGTTGGAAGTTCACATGTAAAAAATTCGAACTTCAGTATATTATGCTGGAATATTTTCCGGATTTTGAACGGTGTTTTCGTTCAGATTAACCAAAAGGCACATCCCCTTTCTCAAATTTCGATTACTTTTAAAATTGTGACTGTTTTTCAATTATCACTTGTAGAACTGGCTATTTTTGAATTTCACCCGTATCATTCTATAGCAATTTGGGAAAGAGAAACTTGGGCCAATTATGAAAGAAGGTCTGGAATTTTGCCCATCTCACATGTTTGTTTCTAAACCCTGGATTGACCTGCTAATCAAGTGCACATGCATGACAAAAAATTGCAAAAATGGCACTATTTGTGGTAGTTTTAAATTTTTGACCCTGCTTTCTATGGACAAAACTTCAAGGTTAACAGTTAAAAATGTTTCCCATAAGGCAAGACAGAAATAACCGTTGTTAAACTTGAAATTCTGCTTATAGGGCAAACGGATACAAAAACTCAAAATCATCCACTTTAAGAGCATGTTTGACAAAGCTTTTAGGAGGCCAAAAGTACTTTTTTTCATCAAAAAAGTATTTTTTTTAAAATTCAAGTTGTTTGGCCAAGACGGAGAAGTACTTTTGGCCAGCAGCAGAAACATAAAATTAATTTATTCAAGACAAAACTATCCTCACTATAAATTTATATTTTTCAAATTATTCCTTATTGATTTAAGTTTTTTTTTGTTTCTAGTTTTTGCTATTCTTTTAAATTTAAAGATATCATATACATGAATCATATTGTAACTTTTTAAAATTTTTATTGACTTTTTTTATTTTTTTATTTTTTCTTTGTGTAATATCTTGTAACTTTTCAAATTATCTTCATCTTTTCTCACACTAAAGAAAATTATTTACATCCTTCTTTGGATTATCAATTCTCTTCTTACAAATAATCATTTATAATTTCTTCTCTTATAGGCTATTAATTCTCCGATCTTTAAAACTGTTATCAAATCTAATTTGTAAAAATTACCTACAAATAGGTAATAAATTTATAATTGTATCGCATAATCTATATATTATTAAAAGAAGAAGAAGAAAAAGCCTCCACACCAAGACAAATGACAGTCTCGCAATAGGCCACTTGGCAATTCAAGACAAAGTTAGTTAGGATAGGTAATAATTAATTTTTTTTAATTTAAATTTTAAAATAAATAAATTATGCATTCTGTGTTGTAAATAATTAGTTACTCTTTTAAAATTTAAATTTAAACATACTTAACTATTATTTTTTTTACAAAAATAATAATTGTTTATATATTTAAAATTATTTCTATTTTACGCTCAATGTCATGTTTCAAGTTTGACACTCGAAATTATCTTGTTACAGCTACCATAGTTATACAAAATTTTATCCGACGAAATTCTTCTACCGATAAGGAATTCAACTATTATGCTAATGAAGACGTTACTGTAGATATTGAGAAAGGGGATGTGTCTTTTGGTATTCCTTTAGAAATGCAAGGCAAGTCTTCTACTAATATAGAGGTGTTGTGTGATAGAATTAAAGATGAAATTACTGAGAACTGTTATCATGTGCTTATTATTTCATGGTTGATTATTAATACATAGTAATTTGTGGAATAGACTTCTAATTTATACTGAATGATGTATTTTGATTATTCAAATCATCATGTAAACAATAAGTAATTATACTAGATAATATTATATGCGTTGGTATAATTAGATATGTTATATTGATTTAAATCTTTAATATTTATGTTTACGTTATATTTTATATTTTAATAAAATAAAATAATAAATAATAAAAGTCTTTTACGATAAATATTTAAGTTCATTTTCTCTTTAAAATAATTATAAGACCTTAATACTATCCTTTTTGATAAGTTGACACTCAAAAGTACTTTTTAGAAAGATTGATCAAATACAATTTGTTTACCAAATATTACAAAAAGTACTTCTTATATGAATTGGTCAAACACAAATTATTATTTTTTTTAAAAATACTTTTGAATAAAGCACTTCTGGAAAAAAGTACTTTTCAAAATAAGTAGTTTTTGGCAGCTTGGCCAAACGGACTCTAAGGGCTATTTGTGTACTTCACTTCACCCCAAACATGAAGTATAAAAAAACCAAGTGGAAATAAAGGGTTGAAATGGCATATAACGACGATCCAACTGCCAAGGTATCGTCCTGAGCAAGTGCGAAAATAACCGTTTTTAGGACCCTTATTTAAGACGTAGCATGCAAAATCGTGCTACAAACATAAAAAGACTTGTTCAATAATCTCAATTGAAAAATTATTATAAATTGAGAATTTAGTTCTCTTTTCAAAACACCGTGTGTGTGTGTAGAGTAATAATTGAAAAATTATTATAAATTGAGAATTTAGTTCTCTTTTCAAAACACCGTGTGTGTGTGTAGAGTAATAATTGAAAAATTATTATAAATTGAGAATTTAGTTCTCTTTTCAAAACACCGTGTGTGTGTAGAGTAATAATTGAAAAATTATTATAAATTGAGAATTTAGTTCTCTTTTCAAAACACCGTGTGTGTGTAGAGTAATATTACTATGTCTTTTTTAATTAATAAGGAAAAATAACCTCTTAACCAAGTGCTCGAGTCCTTTCTTTCTTTTGCTAAAGTAGTATTGTTTCGTTTTTCTTTTTACACCTTTTTGCTTTTTCCACCCATAGTGGATTAACACATCAAATAGTCAAAGCTGAATCCAAACTTTCTACTATTAAATTTTGATTTCTTTTTAATTTTACACGTCTAATCTTTCTTGGATAGCTTTGTAAATTCATAATATTACTTTTTAAGAAAGACCGGACAACATTTGGAACATGTGGTCATAATATTTGTATGACTATAACCTATAAGAGTTTTGAAACTTGTGATTTTAAATATGTCATAATATTTGTGTAGCTATAAGAGCAAAGTTTAACTCAAATTATTTCAAAATTTAGAAAAGAGTTATTTTTTTGAAACTGATAGAAAGGAAATAGATTTCATAATTTAAAATGGAGGAAGTAATTGAGTTGTTATTATATTAATATAGCACAACCTTGACTCACCCGACTTTTTTTTAAACCAAAATAATTTCATTGTCATGTACCAAAATGAACAAATTACCTAATGTTACAAGTACTTTCACTATAAAGTAAAATGGCCAAGGCACTTTCTCATCTTAACCTTTAAGTACAATTTTTGGCTCTGGCAAAAGTTTATGTGATGTACATTACACGTACAGATTGTTACTGCATCATCACAGGAATTTGAATCTCAAAAATCAGAATTGATCACCATATGTAGCTTTTGTCTCAAAAATAATTTGGAATGATAATCGCGCGACATTATTACTTATATATTTAAACTAATTGGTCATTATAGAAAAGAATATAAATCCATTCGGACCATTTCTTATTAACAAGTGAAGTTTTATTTGGTAAATACGTATCCGCACTAAGTACTTATATTAAATTATTATCAATTTTTCATGAATAAGTGATAGAATTTTATATGCAAGTTATCCACGTAAAATATCAGTGTTATGTAAGTTCATCACCTCCTCTCATTTTGATCAAATATTGTGTAGGAATATTAGGACGATTGTATATTATATTACATGAATTTTCGCAGTAATCATTTATATAACGGCAAAGGGCCAAATATATCCATTTACTTTCGAGAATGGTCTAAAAATATCCATCGATATACTATTTGGTTATCTATATCCCTGCAGTCATACTTTGGGTTCAAATATACCCTTCATTTAAACGGAGGGACACGTGTCATCGTCATATTGGTCAATTCTAAATATCTCCTAATTAATTTTAAAGACTCATTACCCATACACGAGAAATAATTTTTTAAAGCAATTTTTTTTGTAAAAACTAAAATTATTTTTACTAAAAACTAAAAAAAAAAAAAATATTTTTTTTTTCAGTTTTTACAAAAAAAATGCTTTAGAAATTATTTTTACTAAAAATTAAAAAAAAAAAGAAAATATTTTTTTTTCAGTTTTTACGAAAAAACTGCTTTAGAAATAATTGAAAAATATTTTCTATAACAATGTTTTTGTAAAAACTGAAAATCAATTTTCTAAAGCAATTTTTTTTGTAAAAACTGGAAAAAACTGAATTTTTTTTTTTACTAAAAACTGAAAAAAACGAAAATATTTTTTTTTCAGGTTTTACAAAAAAACTGCTTTAAAAAAAGACTGAAAAATATTTTCTAATACAATATTTTTGTTAAAACTGGAAAAAAAACTAAAAAGTAATTTTCTAAAGCAATGTTTTTGTAAAAACTGAAAAAACAAATATTTTCTTTTTTTTTTTTTTTTTTTTTTTTTTAGTTAAAAATATTTCAGTTTTTTTCAATTTTTAATTGCTTTAGAAAATTACTTTTTAATTTTTATTTCAGTTTTTACAAAAATATTATTTTAGAAAATATTTTTCAGTTTTTTTAAAGCAGTTTTTTGTAAAAACTGGAAAAAAAATATTTTCGTTTTTTTCAGTTTTTAGTAAAAAAAATTTATTTAGTTTTTTCCAGTTTTTACAAAAAAATATTATTATTCGTGTATGGGTAATGAGTCTTTTAAATTAATTATGAGATATTTAGAATTGACCAACAGGATGATGACACGTGTTCCTCCGTTTAAATGAGGGGTATATTTGAACCCAAAGTATGACTGCAAGTGTATATATAACTCAATAATATAACGAGAGGTATTCTTAAAGTATTTTCGAAAGTAGAGGGGTATATTTGACCCTTGCATTTTATATAAAGTTATATCTTTATAACCCACCATACTATTGGGCACCCCCACGGTCCCCCACCCCAACAAGAGAAAAGTAAAGCAGCAAGTTGAATCAGTAAATAATATTCTTAAGCTCATTTTATAGTGGTAAGCACTAAAAAGCACAACTTTTTACTTTTACTTGATCATGCAAAGTAGCTTTTTTTTCTTTACATTTGTTCTACTAATATTTAAAAAGCTTCCCCATTAAAAGAAAAAAAAAATCAAATTTTTCCTTATATTATTCAAAATTAAGCAGTGTTGCCCTCTGTCAAAATTTTGGCCTATATTAACCACGCATACGCCAAAAAAATAGTCTCATTTTGACCCTTGATCCTTAAGGAAGTTCCAACTCGATGGTAAATTTAAATCATAATTAAAGATTGAAGGATAACTTGCACCTTTTTTTTCGAAGATTTGGATATGTGGACCCATTACGCTGAAGGGTAAACAACCCGAGTAAATACGAGACAATTTGCTAATAACGGTATAATTGAACCTAAAGATGATGAAAATTTAGATCAATTTTGGATAGTATAAAAAGCAAATTTGCAACTTTTCCAATTTAAAAAGAATGGATTAGGCTGGCCCATAGCTTTACGTTGTTTCCAATTACACTCCCTATACTTTTTGCATGCCATTTGTTCATAAATAAAAAACATAATAGAAAAAGAAATTATGACAACCTTTTTCCTTAAATACTCATTGAAGCAACCATATCTCAAACTCTCTCACACTCTTAGCTAATAGCTCTAAAATTTTCTCAAGAAAATGGCTAAAATTCTCCATTTTCTTCTCATTTTCATGTACATTTTCTTTTCTTTCTTCTTTCCTCTAATTTTCTCAGATTCTTCAGTTGATGGTTTTATTTATGGTGGTTGCTCACAAATAAAATACTTACCAAACTCGCCTTACGAGTCGAATCTCAACTCACTACTCACTTCCCTAGTTAACTCAGCAACTTATTCATCTTACAACAAATATAGCATTGTGGGGTCCACGCAACAAGATATGATCAACGGTCTATATCAATGCAGAGGTGATTTGTCCATGCCGGATTGCGCCACGTGTATAGCGCGATCGGTGAGTCAACTCACCGAGTTATGTCCACAGACTTGTGGTGGAGCTCTACAATTACAAGGGTGCTTTATAAAATATGATAATAGTTCTTTTTTGGGCTCAGAGGATAAAAGTGTAGTTATGAAAAAATGTGGGCCGTCAAATGGGTTTGATTTGGATCAAATGGGCCGAAGGGATTCAGTTTTGGGCGGTTTAATGGGTGGTAATGGGCTTTATAGAGTTGGTGGGTCGGAAGATGTACAAGGTATGGCCCAATGTATAGGAGATTTAAGTATGGCCCAATGTCAAGATTGCTTATCGGAATCGATCGGACGGCTGAAAAAAGAGTGTGGCGGTGGAGTGTACGGTGATATGTTTTTGGGAAAATGTTATGCTAGGTATACAACTAGTGGAGCTCATATTTATGCTAAACCTAATCATCATGGTAAGTGGGATTTTTATTTTTTTAAAGTTAAATTACATTTTTGAGACTTTAAAACTTACCTTCTTACGCTTACGGTGTTCATATATATACAGTCAGACCTCTATATAACAACATCCCTATATAACAACATTTTTCTATAAAAGCCAAGCTTTTTCGGAACTAATTTTTATGTTATGTTATATCAGGATCGGAATTGTTATATAGGTTTCAATAAAGGCTTAAATTACATTCGTTTGATTCACCAATTTTACTAACAAGATGATCGAGATCAAAAAAGCAACATAAGTTGTTATTTCAACCGTTCTTTTGTTTTATTATTAAGCGTAATATAGATTTCATTACCTTATTTTATTTTATTTTTTATTTTAATCTTTCCACATTTTGGTATCTATGTGTGAATTATATCTAAAAGAAGTTAAAAGAAATAATTTAAGAGGAGTAGGGATATTCACATTTATTCTCATATATAGTTTAAGGTTCTTTTTCTACAAAGAATATGATCTTTCATTTTTGGAAAAAATTAAATAAGAGCCTCAAGAATGAATAAATAAGATCATCTTTTTCAATAGTTTGTTTTAGATATATTACGCTTTAACTTATTTGGACCATTCTTAAAAATGATACTGTATAGCCGCCGTAAAAATAATAGCCGAAAAAATATATAAAATTTGTATATTTCTGCTAACATATGTAAATTAGAATTGCGCACTCTATTTTGTAAATTTGTAAATTTAAATTAGAATATGTAAATTTGTAAATTTTATACACTTTTTCGGCTAACATATGTAAATAATTTCTGGCACAAGAGTGATGATACTTCATTCTTTTAGGGAATTAGTTAGAATTGCGCATTCTATTTTAATTCATAATATAGAGTATGTATTTAATATCTCTAATTAAACTCATGCAGATTCTCATAGTGAGAGTGAGAAGACATTTGCACTGATCATTGGATTATTAGCTGGGGTTGCCCTTCTCATCATTTTCTTGACTTTCATGAGAAGAATATTTGCAAGAAATGGTAAAAGCAATTTCTTAATTACTCTTATTTATAACATTTATCTTTTATTTCTACTATTTAAGAATTTTTTGCTCATATAATATTGTAGTAATTAATTATGTTCTCTTGTTTTACTTTTTGCAGGTAAATAAATTATAAATGAGTTCTGAAAAATTTATCTGCTTTTGCTGGCATTTTACTCCATGATCTACGTCAACTTGTCCTTCTCTTTTCTTTTCATGTATTTAGTCTTTTTAGAGAGAGATTTATTTTATATTATTGATCTTCTTTGAAAAGTAGATTTCGAAGTGAAGATGAGCTCTAGGGATGTGTACTATAAAAAAATTTGAAAAAAGCAAGAACAAAAAGCCTAAGATTCCACTCACTTTGATGTAAAGAAATTGCTTTTGCTTTTTGTGAATGCTGATCTTGGATCCTTTCACATGCGATGCTGGATTATGAATTATTCCCTTTGTTTCATTATTTTATTACTTGGACTATCAGTAATATCATCCTTATACATTATATATAACCTTTTTCTTCTTATTATCAACTTCCCATGCAGACTTTGCATGGGGTGCACGCACCCAACAAAGAATAGAGATATAATGTGGCTTGAATCTCTCCGAGAATATTACTACTACTCTTTCGGTTTTTATTTTTCGTCTGGTATTCGGTATTCATATTATGTCTTAATTAAATTTAAATTCGCGTCGAAAAGTCACACATTAAGAAATAATACGCTACCTAATAAGAATAATTCTAAAACTTATGATTAAAGATGAAGGGGTAACCCTTACCCTTGATGGTTACTAGTGTACTTTCTTCTATGGCCATAGATTTGGAAAGTGCTAAAACATTACTGCAAAGTTGGCACACTTATTTGTCTCGAATAAAATATTTGGACCACAAAAGTTATATCCTATGAAGTATGATCTAGAAAAGTTTGAATTTATCAAGAAATTAAAGTAGTGGATCAATCAAAATTGCCTTATTGGATACATGATCCGAAAATTTCTCTGTGTCAAAAATAATATCATTGAGATCGACACCTAGAGGAAAATTAGATCAAATGAAAGAAAAGGTTCCACGACTTATTGGTATAGTTGTTTCTTTTGAGAAAATGTTCAGCACGGTTAATTTTTCAGTAAGGCCGGTTTGGACCTTCGAGACAATATCATAAATGGTTTAATTTATATACACTGATAATATGATTTTTTTTTTATGTTAAAGTAGTATGTGTATTTAACTTATTCATGTTAATAATTACCTAATTTATTATCTAGGTTTAATATTGCAGTTATTATTTATAGATGGTTATATATAGCTATTTTCTAAATAACATGATAATGCAAAATTCTTTTATATCATCCGTGTATAGAAGTTATACTCTGTTTACCCGAAAAACGGATAGAGTTGAATTTATACGTAGTTCTAAGAATACGTGATTTAAATTGATACAAATTGAAAAAGATATGTAAATGAATATCGAAATTAGTTATAAAAGAAATGAATGCAAACCGAATGAACTAGTTAGTCTAAACCTTCAAGTTTTATCACCTTCAAATTGAGTGAAGAATGATTGGTAGAAGAAACAATATGACTAAATATCAAAAGCCAAAAAAGAATAGTATTTGCTCTCTTTTCTGTATATCTCAAAATGAATCTGTCTCCTCTACAAATGATAACAACTCTTAATATAGTAGGGGAATTCCATTTTGGATATAATTAAAAATACATAGTAGGGATCCCATGATAGATTAATTAATTAGTTTTTCCTTGATTCAAGCTGTGGTTTCTGTCGAGATTCTCCCCCTAATTGTGGCTATAACGGCTTTTTTGTTTCTTGGCTCGATCTTGATCTTGGCCGATCTCGATCCTGATTATTTTCTAGGGCTTGAGCTCGATCTTGGCCGATCTCTATTTGTTCGACCTCGATGTCTCGAGCTCGATCTTGTCCGATCTCTATTTGTTTGACCTCGATGTCTCGAGCTCGATCTTAACCGTTCTCGATCTAGATTGGTTTTTGGGGCTCGAGCTCGACAACCAAACTCCGCATCATGGCTCGATATTATAATGACGAACCTTGGTCCATCATGTTCTAATATCGAAAGGCAAACCCGGTTTTGACCTTATACAGATAGTCCCCTCGTTTCTCGGAAAGAAGATAGCGAGAAACGATATGAATTTTTGAACTCCAACTATATGGGCAATGACATCAGCGACGAGCCCGATTGTGATGTATGCGACAAACTTCTCGTCGGTCCAGTTACTAAGGCATTAAATGCGCATAAGTCGATGGTCGGCCACTACCAGTTTTGAACCGTCGTTGTGAAACCAATAAATATCCCCCTTCTTCATCATTTCAAACTTTTACTTTCAAATATTTTTCATTCCAATCTTCATAGTTCTTTGCCTTCTCCAAAGCTCCTATTTCCAGGTTTTCAAATTTCTTTGCTTGTTCTTCCTAAAACACCAAATACTTCAATATCCATTCTTCTTTGTTCACAAAAACTAAATGGCCAAAACATCTAAAAACGTTCTGCAGAAAGAGGTTGCTTCCTCATCTCGGTCGGCCGGCGAGAAACCAGTAGTGGAGCCACGCCATGAAGAACTTTTTCCCGGGATGTGTGTTATTGATTCTGACTTTAAGGTCGAGAAACCCTCATCGGTTGTTGGTCGATGCGAGTCGGTATCGAGATACATATGCTCAATATCCCCAAGCATTCTTGATCTGGTGAAGAAAGATTGCATTGGGAAAACAAAGAGGTTGTGATACCGGCATCGGAGAAAGCGATCACTACCCACGTGGAAGGGTCCCTTAGTATTTACACTTATCCTTTCACGTTGGGTCCCCTCGATCTGGACATCGTCAATTTCTGCAAGAAATACCATGTGACCCTCGGCCAAATTCACCCTTCTTTCTGGAGGATCGTGATACTGCTACATTTCTTCGTGAGCAAAATCGACGGGCTTCCCTTCACCCCCAACCACCTCATAAGATTATATAGCCCTCGACTCTACCGAGGTGGGCTGATAAAGCTTCAACGCCGGGCCACCAAGGCGTTCACCTCGAGTATAGATAAAGACAAAGATCAGGGCTAGATGGGCTGGTTTGTTCGGGTGAAGACCTCAGACCTAATCCCAGTTGAGCGCATGCCATTTCCTAAGAAATGGAATATGAAACATAAGTATGATCCCATCATTAATTTCCGTTTGTTGTTTTTACTTCTTCCTCCTTTCTTATCAGTGTTGTTCTCAATGCAATCGTTGCTTGGATGTCGGGTGCGATTTCCCACCTCGAGAACTGGTCAGGAGCCTAGTTTAGACATCAATATACGCCGAGCGCGCGTGGCGCGATTTGTCAAAGGGCCGGTGGGAGGTTCGTACTCATGGTAAGCTTCCTTCTTGGCTTACCGATTTACCTATCGTTCAAGCATTTTTTCAAGTATGAGTTTACTTACTTTCTCCTTTTGTAGGTATGAGAAAGGATGCGGCTATGAGACCCCTATCCGGTGATGAAGAAGATTTACCGCCTATCTCGAAACCGGCAAAGGTGATTAAGAGAAAAAGGCCTAAAACTCCGAGGGTCAAAAACCCAAGAAGAGAGCGGCCCGTAAACCCAAGGGGAACATAATCCACTGACTATGGAGTCAGTCCAAAGACTAAGGGAAGAAGAAGAAGAAGAAGAAGAAGAAGAAGAAGAAGAAGAAGAAGAAGAAGAAGAAGAAGGTGATTCTGGGATGGTGGCCCGTGCACGAGCTAGCACCGATATTCAGAAAACTTCAGAATCGGTGGGAGTTGATACTGCTCCGTCTAATCTCGATGAGGTCGATGAGGAGACTCCGGCCCAAGTTCCCGAGCCAAGGGGAACCGAAGATGATTTACCTCGGGGCGAAGAGACTGTTGAAGAGGCGGTGTGTGCCGATGCAAAAACTGGGCTTTAGGCTTGTCAAGACGGAGGCGGCGCCCCAAAAACCTTACTTGGGACAATAGAGATCGGGGATTCCCCCTCGTTTCCTTCATTCTCCAAGTCGATGATACATGATGCTCAGGCCGTGGAGACTTGTCACGGGGAGGGAGACCATGGAGAGGAAGATCCTTTCCGTGGTTATTTTGTTGGGGTAGAAGATGTCACCAGTCTGAGTGACTTGGAGGCTCCGAAGAAGAGCTCGGGCGAGGTGAAAGCGTCTTGTCTTTTCAACAAAGCTCAACAGGCCCTGAATCAGGTAAGTTCATATTTTCTTTATCAATTTTCATACTTGTATTTTTCTTTCCTTGTATAATTCCTTCTTTCTATTTTTGTAGGCCTCTTTGCTTCATCACGAGGCATTTTTTTGATCCCGAAGGAAGCTGAGCCGGTACAAAGCCGAAAATCAAGGGCTTACTGAGGAGAGATATGCCTTCAAGCTTCTTAGTGAGAAGAGAGAAGGAGAAGCTAAAGGACTTCGGGCTGAGCTAGAAGCATCTCGGAAAGAACAAGCTGATCTGGCCGAGTAGGTAAAAAGAATCTTTGAAGTTAATGACACTGACTCGGGCGTGATGGCTAACAGTTTGGTCCCACATGTCCAGCAAAAATTCAATGTAATCAGGAAGCTTCGTGTTGAAGTGGACGCAGTGAAAGCAGAGGTCGAGGAGTAGAAGAAGAATATGGACCACCTTGCCTCAGAAAAGGAGGTTGCCCGAGCTCAACTGGCTTCGACTGAGACCCAACTCCGAAGCTTAAAAGAGAAGGCCTTGGTTCAAGCCAAGAAAATCAAGAAGTTCCAGTCTCGGTTGGGCTCAGCAACTTCTGATCGAGAGAGACTGGCCACAAAACTTGCAGCAGCCAAATCGGAGGTCGAAATAGCCACGGCTAATGTTGATGCAATGGTGGCCGTCTACCTGTCCGATGTTAAAGCTGCTCAGGTTTGAGCAAAGGAGGTTGCCGAGGCTGCTCAGGATCGAGCAAACTGGGTTGACGAGTATGCTACATGCCACTCTCGAAGGGAGACTCTCGAGGAGATCCATGCTCGTGGCTTCAATATTATAGCCGAGATCGAGAATGCTAAGGAGCTTGAAGCCGAAACCAGAGTGTTGGATTTTCCTGATGATGATGATACCGGGAGTATGAGCGGATCTGAAAGCGAAGGAGGCCACGAGGACGAAGATGTTACTCCCAGAGAGGGCTAAGTCCTTTAGGATTAGTATTTTTTGTGTTTCTTTTAAGACCTTTTCGGTCTTTTGTAGAGAAACTTGATCGGGCCATGCTACCCTTGTAAATGATTTCTGACATATATATAAAAGTTTTCTTCCTTTATGCCTTATAAAATTATGAAGTTGTATTCTAAGATCTGAGGTTTAGACAATTTGATTGGAACTGAATTAGTATAGCTCTTAGACTTTATGATCGAGTGAGTGCTTGCTCGAACTTGAATTAAGGTAACCCTTAGGTTTTTTATTTTAGCGAGGATGGTCTCTCGAACTCAACACAAAAAACA